CTGAATTTAAGGCCTTGCTAAGTTGCTCAGGCTGATTTAGAACTTGGAATCCTCCTGCCTCAGCCTCTGCAGCTGCTGGGATCATAGGTATGCACCACCATGCCCAGTCCCTTTATTTTGTATTTTGATAAAGGGTATTATTAAGTTGCTTAGGGCCTCACTAAGTTGCTGAGGCTTGTCTAGAACTCACAATTCTGCCTCAGCCTCCGCTGGCATTCAGGCATGTGCCACTGTGCTCAGCTTTAGTACTTGATTTCTTGTTAAGTGTACAATTTAAAAAATTGTTTGGTGGTGGGCAACCTCTGTTAGGATCCCCTCTTGCCCTTGTAGAGTTCTGTTCCTATTCTTCACACTTGAATAAATTCTACTCCTTTCACTCTTAAAAGAGGAGAAAATTATTTGGTGAAGTAATTTCTTCTTCTGGAATTAATATAAAATTGTTACTTTTTTTAAAAAAAATACTGATTAAATTTAAGTTTTTCTATTCTCTTTTTCTGTACTGGGAATTGAACTCTAGGCCTCTCACATGCCAGTTCCAYTACTTTTAGCTACACTTTCAGTCCTTTTTAAATTTTATTTTGAGACAGGTTCTCACTAAATTGACCAGTCTGGCCTGGAATTTGCAATACTCCTGCCTTCCCCTTTCTAAATTGCTGGGATTATAGGCATTTGCCATCATGCCTGGTTAACTGATTCTTTAGAAGGTACCTGTTCTGGGATTATTATTTTACTTATTTTTGTTTGTTCTTGGAGTGCTGAAGATTGAACCCAGGACAGTATGTATGCTAGGCAAGTACTCTACTATATACCCCCAATCCTGAATTATTAATTTTTAATAAGAACTTTAATTTTGGAGAACTTAATAATCAGTGCTTAAGGTTTTTTTTTTTTTTTTTTTTTTTTTTTTTGTATTAGGGATTTTGAACCCAGGGGTGCTTAACCACTGATACACATCCCCATCCATTTTTATTTTGAGATAGGGTCTCACTAAGTTTCTTTGGGCTTTGCTGTGTTGCTCAGGCTGCCTTTGAACTAGTGATTCTTTTGTCTCAGCCTCCCAAGCCACCACCTCACCCAACTAAGCTTTGGTACTTTTAAGTTTAATATCTACATATTTGAGGTATACTGATATTTTATTGTTCACGATATTAAAAATGCTGAGTAGGTTGTAGAAACTGGATTGGTCTTAAGTTGTAAACTTGTTAATTTTGGATACTTGTCTGTATCTTAAGATTTTTGTTTATTTGTTTGCTTTTTTATTGGAAATACCTAGAGTAGTTGGCTAGAACAGATGCCCTTGGGGAGGAAGATAGCAGGAAGATAGCATTTTCTGAGCTGGATAATTTATGGCAGCCTCCTTTTAGTTTATATGGGAAAGATGATTTTTAAAATGAGCGAATGGAAATAAAAGGCTACTAGTTTGTGAAATAGTATGACATAAAGTTCTGAGTCTGACTTGGGGTCCAGAGTAAGTGTCTTTCTGTTCTTGTTGAAACATGGGGATGAAGTGATTAGAGTAAGGGTAGAGGATGACTTGAAAGAGTCATGAAAAATATGTGTGGATATTTTTGAAACTGCTAAGAAAAGTAGGTGGGGTGTACTGGGCAATAGATATGCAAAAACTATGTATATTGGTGATTGCCTACTTAGTTGAAAGCCTGTGGGATGAATATGGATGGAAGAGTATAATGATATAATTACAGCATAGATTTCAATTAGAGGAGTGTCCTGATCAGAGAGCCTTACAGTTGAATAAGCAAGATCCTACCAAAATACTTGAGAGAATAAGATACTAGAATAAACAATATTCAACCTCATTTAGAGAGGAGAATTCACATGTTCCAGAAATAGAGGAAGAAACAATCTAATATTAAAATTATAAGCTTTGTTTTAATAGAGCTTATTTTCAAAAATAAAAATAGAGTATTCACACATTTGCATATAATTTTTTAAAGCTATTTCATAATTTTAATTTTCTTTTAATCCATAATTTATAATAAACCTTTTCATTTATTCAACTTATTCTAGACATAAGATTGCAATACCTAATTCCTGCTATGTGGCTTTATATAAATATAAGATATTTATAAATTCCTTTCTTTTTCTTTTTTTCCCCCCCTCTCAGAACTGGGAATTGAACCTGGAGCCTCATGCCTGCTACAGGGCAGCTACTCTGCCTCTGAGCTATAGCCCTAGGCCTAGACGTTAATAATTTTAGTGGTTTCTCTTAGGGTTTTTCGCCTTCATTCGCCACTCTCATCCGGGCTTTATCTCATAACCTGTCTTAGCTCTTATTCTTCTTCTCATTGTATCCAGTCTGGCCCATTTGATCTGCCTTGGTATTTAACTACTTTTCTATACAGATATCTTTTATTATTGTTGTTTGGGGTACTGGGGATTGAACCCCGAGGCACTTAACCACTGAGCCACATCCCCAGGCCCATTTTATTTTGAGACAGGGTCTCACCAAATTGTTTAGGGCCTCACTAACTTGCTGAGGCTGGCTTTGAACAGTGATCCTTCTGCCTCCGAATCCCAAGCTTGTGAGATTACAGGAGTGGGCTACCATGGCGCTGGCTATAGATGTCTTTTAACATCTATAGATGTCTCCCTTGCCCTCCATTTCTCTTTGCTTTAACTAAAACTGTGGATTGAATATCCCATGTTGAACATAGTGGAACTGACTTGCTTATTGTTCTCTCTAACTCCTCTTTCATACTTATCTTTGTAGGCATTATGAAAGATATAAAGCCTGACAATGAATGAGCTTAAACTTGGACTGGCCTTTAACCTATATAGTTGTTTGCCAGCCCCAAAGTCCCTCTCACACCAGCATGAACTCATATAGCTTATATTATTCTTTGTACTTTCCTTTTCTTCATTCTTATGGATAGTGGATCGATTGATATGTCAGAACTACAGTAACCTGAATATTACCTTCATATTCTCTTACTCATTTTTATATCTTCAGATATTTCTTGTTATTTCCCTGAAAAAGAGAAAAAAGAAAAAACACAAGTCATCCCCAAATATGCACAGTCATGTTTTGCTTAACAGGAAAATACATTGTGAGTTATTGGTCACTGGATATTTCCTCACTGTTGGACCATCACATTATACTTACACAAACCTAGATGGTCAGTCAATTCATGTGGCCTCTTGATGGGGTACAGAGATGTGGTAGTCAGGCTTTATGACACACATCAGTCCCAGTTACATGGAAGGCTGAGGCAGGAGGATCACAAATTCAGAACCAACCTCACAACTTAGTGAAACTGTGTCTCAAAATAAAATAAAAAGGACTGGGGATATAGCTCAGTGGTACAGCACTTTGTCTAGCGTGTGTGAGGTCCTAGATTCAATCCCCACTACTCCCCCCCTCCCCCACAAAAGAGAAATAAATGCAATATTTATGAGACTGCTGCGAGCATAATACAGCATTTACAGTAGGCTGCTTTCCAATAGGCTTTTTAAAAAACAATAAAAATATAGCATATTAAACATAAACAAGTAACATTGTTCTCACCAATTATATAATGTATATAATTAAATATGCTATACTTTTTATACTATTGGCAGCATGGTTAGTTTGTGTATATTGGCATTACCACATGCTTTGTGCTGTAATGTTTGTATGCAATGATAGGAATGTCTCAGCTCCATTATAATATTTTATTTTATTTTTGGTGGGGGATATCAAACCCAGGGCCTTATACATACTAGGCAAGAGCTCTACCACTGAACTATTCTACTAGTATGATCTTTTTTTGAACTGAGGTTGAATCCAGGGGCATTTTAAACTGAACTGCATCCCCAGCCTTTTTTATTTTTTTATTTTGAGATAAGATCTGACTGAGTTGCTAGGGCTTCTCTGAGAAGCTGGCCTCAAACTTGGGATCCTCATGTCTTAGCCTCCCGAGTCTTCGGGATTTCAGGTATTTGCCACCATCCCAGCCTACTAGGATAATTTAATGGGATCATCATTGTGTATATTGGTCTTTTTTTTTTTTTGACTGAAATGGCATTATGCAGGGCTGCGATTGGGGCTCAGCGGTAGAGCACTCGCCTAGCACGAGGGGGACCCGGGTTAGATTCTCAGCACCACATTAAAAAAGTAATAATAATAAAGGCATTGTGTTGTGTCCATCTACAAAAAAGATTCTCTCCCCCCCMCACACACACTTTAAAAAAAAAAGAAATGGCGTTATGCCATGCATAACTATAGTTCAGTGTACAGTTTTGAAAAGTTGTAACGAAAAATTTATGTCTCATTTTCTGGATTTATTTCCTAAAATTTGCTCATGTGAAAATACTTTTGTCAAGAATACAACATAGGTAACATTGTGTATGTTTTATCCTCTCATGTTAGGAAGAATATATTATTAGACTGTCCCACTATTGATATTGCTAAGTTTGATCATTTGGTTAAGTTCAGAAATCTTTATTGTAAAAGTCAGTTTCCATATTTTATAACTTGTAAGTAATGGGAGGGTGTTAGGATTCCCAATACTTTCATTGAAAATTTAATTGGCATTCTAAGTATTGAACCCAGGACTTGGTGCACTCCAGGCAAGTGCTCTAGCACTGAGCCACTCCCCCAGCCCTTCCAATAGCTTTTAACATATGTTTTTATTCTATTTGCCCACTCAGTACCATAAACTTTAAAATCTGTTCTGTCCTCTTAACAATTTACCAGAACTGTTTCTTATATAATCAGAAGTTTAAAAGATTTTCTCATCTGCCAGAATAAAACCTAAGGGACAGAAATGAAGTTATAACAATGGAAGTAAAGCAGGAGAGGCCAGTGGTAAAGCAGACCTCAATGGCTCTTAGTGATTGTATTTGCATACTTGGAAGGTGTGCTAAACACAATCATGAAATATAAAATTGTCCTTTGTTCCTTATAGCTATTATAAAGAAGCTATTTTAAAATTTTGAGCTAATGCTTTGCCTTCTTTAAGGAATCTTGGTTAGAGTTAATATACTTTTTTATTTTGTAGGTTTAAATGTAATGCTGGATATTTATATCTCCTTTTAAGGTAAGTTTCTTATTTTAATTTTGTTTGAAACTACAGTATTCTTTTAAACTCAGTACTCAAGTAGCTTGTCTAGAATTTTACTTGCTGAAATTCTATTAGTAAATATTTACCACCTGAGCTTATAGATTTTATCATAGAGAAGAATGTTATCCTCAGGAGAATGGTCTTTTCTGTACATATAGTATTTAATATACCTAATATTTGAATGCTGAGGAAAATTGGTAGGTTGTCTTAGAATCTGGGGTTTATACATTTTTGGTAACTCTGTTTGCTTTAACATTGACATACTTGAGTTTGGGATTGTGTATGTTAATTCCTTAAGGCTGTTGTAATAAAAATAGAGATTGAATATCCCTTATTTGAAATGCTTGCAATCAAAAATATTTCAGATTTTGGATATTTTAAAATTTTGGAATATTTGCATTTATATAGTATCTTGGAAATGGGACCCAAGTCTGAATGTGAAAATCATTTATGTTTCAGGTATAGAATGAATATATGGTATTTTTAATATAGCTGCAGGTTGACTGTGACCTATCAAATGAGGACAGACAAGTGTAGATATTTTGGATATTTTTTCTTTTTTTGTACCAGGGATTGAACTCAGGAGCACTCGACCACTGAGTGACATCCTCAGCCCTATTTTGTATTTTATTTGAAGACAGGTCTCACTGTGTTGCTTAGCACCTCGCCATTGCTGAGGCTGGCTTTGAACTTGAGATCCTCTTGTCTCAAGCCTCCCAATATTTTTCCATTTTTGTCTTCATGTTAGTGCTCAGAAAGTTTCAGATTTTGGAGTATTTGGGAGTTTTGGATGAGGTATGCTCCATCTGTACTGCAAACAGGGTCACTTAACACAGCAGAAATTATTCTCTTGAAGATCTGGAGGCCAGAAGTCCAAAAATCAGTGTTGGCAGAGTATATGCCCTCCACAGACTCTAGGGGAGACCTCCTTCCTTTCCCCTTCCCAGCTTATGGTGGTTCTTGGTTTTCACTTGTTTCTGCTCAGTCTTCACTTGGTCTTCTTTTCTCTGTCTCCAAATCTACTCCTTATAAAGATACCAGTAATTGGGTTTGGGAGCCCACGTTAATCAACTATGACCCCATCTTAACTTTTATGTCTGCAGATACCTTATTTCCAAATAAGATTACATTTTCAGGTCCTGGGGTTAGAACTTTAATGTATCTTTTTGGAGTATACAGTTCATCCCATAACAGTTGGAGTTGACATACTCAGGTTGTAGCAAAATTGAGCTACTGTGCTTATTTTGAATCTTGAGCCCTATGGTTCTAGAGGTACCAAAATATTTTGGAATTGGAATGGAAATAAAAGTAAATGCTAGATTTCTCAAGGCAGATTAGGGCTATTTCATTTCTTTTTTCTTTCTTTCTTTTTTTTTTGTGGCACTGGGAATTAAACCCAGGGTCACATGCATGCTAGGAAGCACTCTACCACTTAGCTACACCACAGCCCTTTATTTTATTTTGTGATAGGATCTCACCAAGACCAGGGTGGCCTCAAATTTTTCATCCTCCTGCTTCAGCTGCTCAAGTAGCTGGGCCATTTCTAACAGATTTTGAATTAGAGGAACAAGTATATATTTTTAACGTTTATAAATAAAAAGACTGGTTACCTGTTAATATTTGTGAATTTGGCCTAAAAAGGATTGTGGCCCTATTGAGTAGTGGTAAGAGGGAAACCAAGTAAACAGGTAGTTTCTTTTGGTTATCTATGTGTAAGTTTTGCCTAGTAATAGCATTATTTAAAAAAAAAATTATATTAGAAACATACTCTTTTTAGTTGTGTATCTTAAACCTTTTTAAAGCTTGCTAATAATGTTTTAAATCTTCCCGAAACATAAGAAGTAAAATATTAAGGTGGGGTCATTGAAGTCCACTTTCAAAAGCTTTCTTAGGTGTTGCATATAGTGAACCTCGCTCAGTATCTGGCCATTGACAGGTGCCCGAGACATATTAGTTATTATTATTATTGAGCCTTCCTAGGAAAATGAAGGAGGTTTGAAGTAGCCATGAAAATTAGGAAAGTGCTTTCCAATTCTTACTTTTGATAGTGTTGGGTTGGACTGGTTAGTATGTTCACTGTTCCAGTCATTAGTTTTAGTTTGGGTCATGAATTACTGAAAAATTTAGATTATAATTAAAATGAAAGTATTTTTTTTAAATGTAGGATAATACATATTATGTATTGTTTCTTTTCTGGGGTTTGAGATTTGAAGGTAATGTTCTGTATTACCTGTATTATTGATGTTTGTGAACAAATAGCAAATCCAGATTACATTAAATTTTTTCTTTGTTCTCTTCTTCCATTTAAGTAACATACTATATTAATGCAGCAAGTCCTAAAGCCATAATGTGGCATGCCATCCTTTTTGAGAGGTGAATAATATTGAATAAAAATGGCTGACAGAAGTGGGAAGATGGTTCCAGGACAAGTGTATATTGAAGTGGAATATGATTATGAATATGAAGCCAAGGACAGAAAGATTGTGATAAAACAAGGGGAGCGCTACATCTTGGTGAAAAAGACCAATGATGACTGGTGGCAAGTTAAACCAGATGAGAATTCCAAAGCCTTTTATGTGCCAGCCCAATATGTTAAGGAGGTCACCCGCAAAGCTCTAATGCCGCCTATTAAGCAGGCAGTTGGACTGCCAAATAATTCTATGAAAATGATGCAGAGTCTACACCTTCAGAGATCGACAGAAAATGTGAACAAATTGCCTGAGCTTTCAAGTTTTGGGAAGCCATCGTCGTCTGTTCAAGGAACAGGTCTTATTCGTGATGCCAATCAGAATTTTGGACCCAATTATAATCCAGGTCCCACTCTCAATCTAAGCCTGGACCTGACCCATAATAATGGAAAGTTTAACAGTGACTCACATTCTCCTAAAGTTTGTAGCCAGAACAGGACGCGCTTATTTGGTCACTTTCCTGGTCCAGAGTTCTTGGACATTGAGAAAACTAGCTTCTCCCAGGAACAGTCTTGTGATTCAGTAGGAGAAGGCTCGGAAAGAATCCATCAAGATTCTGAATCTGGAGATGAACTTAGCAGCAGCTCCACTGAACAGATAAGGGTAAGATTTAGAATAGAATGGTGAAACACATGTCCTACTTTAATTAAAAATTAATTTTGTATTTTATTTAAAGTCTTTATATAAGATTTAGGACTTATTTGTTTTGCTTTATATTTTCAGAATATGTGGATTCTGTCTTGATATAAAGAGTTAGAAAATATGTCACTTTATGGTTTTCATAATTCTTTGCCTTTCAGGACTAGGACTACTTTAAATTTGAGAAAGTTATTTTTTTCTCTGTATTGCCTAAGGCAGAAGGGATTTACTTATTTTAGGCAGTGATGATATTTCTTTTTACCATTTTCTTGTATCTGGAGATCAAACCCAGGACTTCTCACATTCTGTGAAAGTGCTCTGCCACTGAGCTAAGACCTTGCTTTTTGTTTTTCTATTTTGAGACAAGGTCTTATTCAATTATGCAGACTAGCCTTGAACTTGTGATCCTCCTGTCTTAGCTTCCACATAGCTGGGCTTTCAGGTGTGTGCCACCACACCTTGCTTAATGTTTCTTCTAATAGAAAAACTTTTACTGTTTCCTTTCTCTGCTCATTTTTGACTTATTTCTAATAAATCTCAGACAATAATAGATACATGAGATGTCACTGGAGTATTAACCACTAGCTATTGCTCATTGAAACTAGTTTACTAACCTTAAATACCAAAAAATGTAGAGCAAAGGAACCTTTACTTCCACTAATATACTTTTGTGACTTAAATATCTAAATATCCACTCTTGACTACATGGAACTTTAGCCTACAAAAAATTTTAGGTTGTTGATTTCAGGGTTGATTCTCCCCACCCCTCTTCTCTTAACCTAATTTTGTTTTGCCTCCTATTTTTGCTGCCAGGTGTATGCCAGTTTATTTTTCATGTGAAGTAAAGCCATTTTAAAAGCATATTCATATGATTGGCGATGTGRCTTAGTGGCAGAATGCTTGTTCAGCTGTGCAAAGCCCTGGGAGTAGTGGCACACACCTGTAATCCCAGCTACTTGGGAGGTTGAAGCAAGAAGATCACAGGTTGGAGGCCAGTCTCAGCAACTTAGCAAGGCCTTATCTCAAAATTTAAGAAAATAAAAAGGTCTGGGATGTTCTTCAGTGGTAAAGTTGCCTCTGGGTTCAGTCTGCAGTACTACTCCACTGCCCCCCAAATATGGATGAAATTAAAATTTGGGTGCATTTAGGAAAGTCTAATTTTAAGTAAATTTAAAAATTATTAAGTTTGGGGGTGAAGCTCAGTTGTAGGGTATTCATCAAGCTAAGTCAGTGTATGACTAGAAGGTTACTTAGTTGTGGTCTCATTGTTATGGAAGTATATTCTTTTTGTAGGTTGTAACTTTTCTTGTAATAGTTTTGAATGAAATAGGAAAAGGGAAGATTCTCTAGAAAAACTTCAGGTGTTTGAGATCAGTTTATCATTGTGGGTCTCAGTAGACTTTCCTTTAATCTTCATATGACACTCTGACATAGAATATATAGTGTTTCCTGACGTTTTTCTATGCTAGCTCCTTATCAAGCTAATGGGCTTTGGGAGATACATGTTTTCTTTTCCAACCAGCTATCTGCATATTTCACCCATTGTATTTACGTGCATGAACAATTATGTGTTCTTTTCATTGTGGTCATCTTAAGTTCACTGCACTGGAAGTTCATGGTTCCCAACTTCTACTTGGTCGCAGTACTGTTTGGAAGTACTACCAGATTTCTTTGACCAGCTGTCTTCCTAACTCTGAGACAGCTGTTTTAAACCTTTTCCATTTTCTTAATTTCACTGATTCATTTGCTTTTTCCTGTGCTCTTACTAGATAACTTTGTTGCCTTCTACTTCATAGCAAAAAATAAAAGCCATGTTATCAGAATTACTTCAACTTTGGTGAGCACATTTTGCATAGTAGTTAATAGTTTTGGCCTTAAATTTGAATCTGGTTCCATATCACTTGCCAGCCATGTGATAATCAGAAAAAATTACTTTTATTTTTCTTTGTGGTGGTAGGTGTAGAATTCAGGGTCTCACACATGTGAGGCCAGTATTCTACCACTGAGTTTCAACCCAAGGAAAACTTACTTAACCTCCATGTGGCAATTAACTTCATCTTAAAATGAGGATCATAGAGTTGTTGAGTACATAGTAAATACATTAGGTATCTACTGATGATTAATAAATTTTATTATCTCTCGATTTCTGTGGACCAGTAAATCAGCAACTTAGCTGAATAGATGCGAACGCTTGGGGTCTCTCCTGGGGTTGCTCCAGTATTATACAGGGCTGACTGGCCTGGGGGAGCTGCTTCTGAAGATGATTTAGTCCAGTGGTTCTAGTTATGCCTCTTTACAGCTGCTTGAGTGTTGTTGTTGTTGGTTTTTTTAATTGGTTATTCAAAACATTACAAAGATTGCAGAATCACATCGGTTACACATCCACATTTTTACATAATGCCATGTAGTAACTGTTGTATTCTGCTACCTTTCCTGTCCTCTACTATCCCCCCTCCCCTCCCCTCACATCTTCTGCCTACCCCATCTACTGAATTTATTTCTCTCCTTATTTTTTTCCCATTCCCCTCACAACCTCTTATATGTAATTTTGTATAACAATGAGGGTCTCCTTCCATTTCCATGCAATTTCCCTTTTCTCTCCCTTTCCCTCCCACCTCATGWCTCTATTTAATGTTAATCTTATCCT